GTTATTCCTCTACATGTTGTCCAACATGAATCTTAGGCCTTCTTCAGAATTTTTTATCCTTTTTGTATTTGTTCTTCTATCTTAGTAGTGTTGAGAGATTTACCTTCTAGCTCACTAGTGCTGGCTTCTATCTCTTCAGTTCTACTCCTTTGCCCTTTCAGTGTATTGTCCATTTCTGATATTCTGTTATTAATCATCTGGACCTCTTTCTGTAGGTTTTGAATTGTTTCCAATGCTGTATCTATCTTATTTGATTGTTTCTGTAGCACTTTCCTGACTTCTTCCTTATTTTTCTCAACTCCATTGTATAGTGTTTTGATACATTTTATAATTATTTTTCTGAATTTCTTCCCAGGCATTTCCAAATCCTGCCCATCTTCCAGTATGGAATGTAGGTCTACTTCCAGCTCATTTGCCTCAGTCACTTTATCTCATTTCTGGACATGTACGGATATGGTCATCTGCTTCTGTTTTTTGGGCATATTCAGGAATTATCTGTGGCCTTAATACTTAGATGGGTATGTATTTTGGTATTTTTTATGCTTTCTGATTGCCTCTAGGTAGATGTGATCAGGAAATGGGCTTCCCTTTTCACTCTTTTTCCTGGCAATTTCAAGATGCCACTGTCGTTTTGATGTAATTTAGGATTTAATCTCCGGCCTATTTCCTTTTTAGTCTGCTTGTCCCGTTTCACAATCACTGTTCAGGCCTTTTTTCTAGTTATAAACAGTTCAGGGCCAGCTGTGGTTATTTGGCTTTTATTGGAAACTGTCTCTTTAAATTTTGAGGAGATCTGTGCGCATGCGTAGTATAACCCTCTGAGGGTGGGGCTGGGTGTCCACTCACTCAGGAACCCCTATAGTCACCAGAATGGAGGCGCACAGATAGCAAGGAACCAATGAGCAGATACAAAAAAAATAAATGAAAAAAGAATGTCAACACCTTTATCTCTGAAGTTCTGTCAGGCATCCGTGGCTGCTCTGATCCTTCCCCCACTTGGTCTTGCCCAAGATGGAGGCTCTGGGAGCAGCTGAGCGTCTTTAATTAGAAATCAATGGATTTCTTGCTTCTGCTACAAATTCCCCTAGCTGTAAGCCTTCCAACCGTCTAAATATTCCTTTATGTGTGGTTCAGAGTTCTGATACCATCCCCTGAGCCTGCTTGGTCCAGCATTCTGTGTTGTTGCAGGCGGAGCTCGTCAATTCACTTCTACCTGTGCCACCATCTTGTTTGTTCTGTGCTTCTATTTTTGATGAAAGAATATTACAAAGATAGCAAATGGCTTGGAAGGCGTGATCAGGAATGGAATAAAGGGAAGTTGAAGAAAGAAAATGAGGTAAGATTGAAGTTCTGAGATTATGGCCTAAAGGTTTTGATGGGCAAAGAATCTAAGA